CGTGCGTGTGCGTGCGGGTGCGTGCATGCGTGCGTGTGCGTGCGGGTGCGTGCATGCGTGCGTGTGCGTGCGGGTGCGTGCATGCGTGCGTGTACGTGCAGGTGCGTGCATGCGCGGGTGTCATGAAGTGTAGTCACGTATCGCTGTGCATGCGCGTGTATAAGAGTGTCGTGCGTGCGTGTACACGCGTCCGTGGTTGCTGCGATGCGTGTATAAAGCCCGGCGGACACGTGAGCAATTTTAATCAGTAAAATGATGCATGCGTCAAAATACTCACGTGTGCGCCGGATTTTACTTAGACGCATGCATCAGAAAACTCAATATCAGATATGTTTAATAATTTTTGACTCACGCGTCAAAATACTCAACGTGTGCGCGCTACCTGCGTAAATTTCCTCAACACTGGTACTCACAGCGCATGCGTTTAAATCATTTTAAACATGGCTGCGCCCAGTATAGCCTCGGATGTTTTATCGGAAGCCAAATTGGTGTTTTTTTATGAATGCCCGATTATGAATGCCTATACGTCGTTAGAAGCCCAGATTTTAAAGATAGGGAGAAAAGGGAGCAAGCAAACAACAGTAAAAGAAACAATAAAATTTCTTCATCTTCGGAGGCAGACGAACTATCGGTAACCGCCATTTTGTACAGTCACGTGATCTACATTACCACTTATACCTTGAGTAATTTTACTCACGCGTGCGGCGGACGCTGAAAATATTTCGCGTGAGTATTTTGACGCATGCATTATTTTACTGAGTAAAATTACTCACGTGTGCGCCGGTCTTAAAGAGAGAGTTTACTCTAGGTTCTAGGTATATTTTCAGCTAATTTAGGTTATAATTACGCTACATAAAAAGTTTCATGGTTTAATCACCATTAGAAATATTTTTAAAAAATGTTTTAAAACTAACGACTACAGTTTGATTACAACGACGGTGGCGCTACTCAAAGCGCACGATCTGATAAGTTGCGCAAAACCACTTTCCAGCCAAGGGCTACAGACCGAGGGTGTTTCTTATTTATTAATTTAAAAGCAAAAAGATTGTAATATCTTATAAACGACATGTAGTTTCACTTATAATATGGATAAATTTGCTTCCCCTCTACGACACACCACTATTGCATTTATCACATTTTTTCTCCATGAAAAAAACTGTCGTCAATACATGTATTTGTATCTGAATTACATGCAATAAAAATTTAATTTAAAAAAAGTAACATTAACGCCCCCTGGCGGTACTATGCGACATTATACATCTGTTGGCCATGTGCGCAGGTGACACAGTGAGACCTATTGTACAATAGAGTGAAGGGTCAGAGGTCATTTTACGGGATACTTGCCTCCGGCGGGTGACATGACTTCCTGACGCCCGTATCTATATCGCTGATGGCTCACTACACTCTTACACTACCATGATATCAGAAGTAGATAATAGGGAAGCCTCGTGCTGCTGCCACTACTACTGCTGCTGCTACTGCCGTACTCCGCGTGGATTTACGAGCCGCACGCATAGCTCCGTCACTTATTGGTTTAGCGCTCGAGTTTTTTTCTGATATGAACGTGTGTTTGTCGTTAACCACATGAATTCATTAATAACGCAACATGCGAGAGAGATGAGTGTGTGTGTAGGTGTGTGTGTGTGTGTGTGTGTGTGTGTGTGTGTGTGTGTGTGTGTGTGTGTGTGTGTGTGTGTGTGTG